CCGCCGCCGCTTCCGCCGCGCAGGCGCGGCGCCGCCCTCCCTGCGTCCATTGGAGCAGAGCAAACGGGCCGCACCACGGCGTGGAACTTCGGATTGGCTATGCTGGGAATGACCTCAGCACGTCCTTCGAGGAGGCCCCGCCTCGGTCACGGGATCCCCTTCCCGACTTCCGATTGGTTCGATGCTGGAGCGGGACGCTACGCGCCGGCTGGGAGGAGTCATCCGATTGGTTAGCGAGGTCGCCGAGGACTAAGGAGGGAAAGCAGCCGGTTCCGGACATGGCGGAGAAGGCGCTGGGGGTGCGGGGCCGCGGAGCCCGCATTAGGTACCGGGGCGGGGCTGAGAACTGGGGGAGTGACCTGCCGGCGGGAAGGGGTAGGAATCCCGCGGGAGTGAACCCCCCGGAGGCAGGGCGAGGAGCCCCAGGGCGGGGGGGAGGGGAGCAGGAGCCCTAGGGAGGGACGCCCCTCGATCAGGAACCCTGGGGAAGAGCTACCCCCCCCCCAAGAGAAGGTGGACCCCCCGACCCCGGGGAGGCGATACTGACCTCCCAAAGAAAAGGGGCAGGAACTTCAGGGGAGAGAGCCCAGCAGGCAAAGGGGGGGGGGGGATCAGCCCCAAGGAAACGACCCCCAGAGGGATGGGGATATGAACCCTGTCGTGAGAGCTTCAGGGCTCTCCTGCTTTATAATGTCCTTCTCTAGCTCCTTCTAAGCCAGGTGCTCGGAGTGCTTTGCATGCATTAATGAATTCATTCTTACACATGCTTCACAGAACAAATGCTAGGTACAAATGACAAAGCTGGTGCAGAGAGGAAAGGTGATTTGGCCAAGATCACACAGCAGCTCAGTGGCACAGCATTGGATCTAGGCAGCTGGCTTTCCCACCCTCTGCTCTGATGGTTCCACACATCATATTGTACCATATTCACACATTTGAGGAATTAATGAAAATTGATTTGCAGCGATTGTTTCCAGCAATGCCATTGCTTCCCAAGAGACAGTGGAGAATGTTAAATTAATTTATCCTGAAACAGTCAATCTCCTTATAAAAGAGAAATAAATGGTTCTGCAGAATGTCCGTTTATTTATGACAACAAAAGGTAAAGAGAAAGATATATGAATAATGATAAGGGTTTCTTTTGCCAGATAAACCAATGGTGGTTTTACTCCAGAAGGACTGGAAAAGACAGCCTAGATCTAGTGACCAAATGAAATGTTTCAGAGGAACGAAAAACTCACGAATAAAGCACCTGCTGATCAGCTCATACCTGTAAATATTTAGAGCATAGAAACTAAAACCATGAAGAAAAACAAACTTTCTAGGTTCAGAGTGATCCAGACTCTGCTCTCAAATAATCAGCTCTTCAACATTTCAACTCCACTGACTTATTAAATTCCTAGTAATTTACTTTGATATAAATGAAAGGAAACAATTCATGTCTGCTTCTGTCTTTCAGTTTCCACAATAACCATGTACTTCAGAGCTGAGACACCATGGGAGGCTGCTATTGCTGGAGCCTGTGTTAGACATAGTTCACAGCTGAATAGAGACTATTATGCTTAGTTAGACTACAGTGGACATTTCCACCAGTTTCAAGAGTAACACAAACACATACAACACCTGTTATTCAATTTTAAAAAACCACTCAACACTAAAATGTTGTTTTTTCTTTAAAGAGAGAAGCCAAACAAATTCTTTAGCAGCACCCAGAAAACTACTGCTACTCACCACCAAAACCTGAGAGGGCTGGAAAAGAGCCAGATACTGCACAGCAACGAGGAAGAAACTTCATTATTTAAAAAACAAATTGGTAGGATATAAGATAAATCACGATAAAGTCATCTCTTTGACAGTGGGGGCTCTCTTTTTACACAGTATATCTTATCTGGAAAAGACTCTGGGCCCTATTCAGGTTTCAAGTTCATGTAAATCAGTACATTGAAACCAATGGAACCAACCAGTTCCAGTGAATCACATCAGGATAAGGACCACTTTATTTAAGCTATAAAAGATTGATGTTCAAGGGATCTCTGTTGTGTTTATATGTATTTATCATAAACATACAAAATACAGCTCTTTTAAATCCAAAATGAGAGCAAATATGTTTTACCAAAGGATTTAAAAATTGTGTTAAGTATTAACTCACTTAATCCTGTTCTATATTTTATATCAAGAATAATGATGGGGCTTTTTTACAGGAAGCAGTGCTGTGGAGTGTGGTCTAAACATCAGGACTGATGAAGCTATACTGTCTAGGGCTAACAAACTTGGCTGTTTTCATAGGGTTGCCAGACGGTTTCACCAAAAGTACGGGACCCTTTCCCCTCCCACTCCACCCCCCCCCTCCCCAAAAAAAAAAGGGCCGGGAACATTTTGTTGAGGGAGGAAAAAAAACCAAACATCCTGCCTAGCTGCCAAAAATGCAGTTGCAGCCCCTTTAATTGCTCCCCTGCTACTCCGTGTTTCCATCAAGCACCAAGCCAGGAAAAGCAGAAAATACCGGATATTTTATATGTCTGGTATTTTTTCGATTTATTTACCGGACAGAAGGTGCAAATACCAGACTGTCCGGTTCAGTACCGGACACCTGGCAACCCTAGTATTTCATAGGCCCTGATCCTGCAAATACTTACTACTGGGCCTACTGCTTATACCCTAGTACTTCCCTGGAGATCATGGCACCTTTCTCAGTAGTGAACACTATAGTCAGTAGTCAGTTTTCACAGGGTTCATCCCACAGCACATGAAGTGCTCTGAGATCCTTTGGCATGAAAATCCCTAAGAGCTGTAAAGTTATTGGGCCATATTCTATGCCACAATTATAATGATATGGATAGTGCTTTAAAAGGGGGATAATCCCAAAATACCAATAGTAATCCTCAAAATGACTCTCTCATATCCAGGTTGTTCTATGGTCAGTTCTCATATTTTCAATACTTACCCTGATTGTCTTTTGTTTGCAGCACATTATACAACACCCACACCATACTAGTAGAACTGTGTACCACACAATATGTATAATACATAGAATAATTCTATCCCTGTGGGGCTGTGAAGCTTAGTTTGTGAAGTGCTGTGAGATTCTTTGACAGAAGTACCTATACTATCACTGGAAAAACTTAAAAAACAACGAGTAGTCTGGCAGCACGTTAAAGACTAACAAAACATGTAGGTGGTATCATGAGCTTTGGTGGGCACAACCCACTTCTACTACCACTGTTATTTCTGCACTGTGCTAATATCGGCTGATAATATACAGCAATCTACTGGTATAATTAATAGCATTTCCTAAATAAATATTTTTTTCCCACCTAGAAACTAGCTTGTCTCCATATATAGAGGCGAGTCCCACCATTGATGACTTAGAAGAAAGTTTGCGGAAACTTAAAGTTCAGGTGGACAGCTTAGCTTCAAGTCTGAGTTTTGACCCTGATCAAGACTATGCCATAGAGTCTGGCACAACAGTCAACTCAAGCACCTTCAATTTTATGTGGCCAAGAGTTAATAATGGGTCCTATGGAGAGGCAGACATTGGAGATTCACCGACACAATCTGCAGAGTCAGCGTGGTTTCTGAACCCAAGACATTTAGTCAAGCCACTGGGAGAATATCCGGCACTAACAAGCTTAGGCCTTCCAACATTCTCCACATCATCGGTCAACCGTGTGCCAGGGCTCCTGGGGAGTGAGATTGCAAGTCGGAACTATTTGCCATCACTGGATCTTGCACATACAGAATCTTTCCCAGTGAAGCTCGGTGCTCCTCATGTGATTGGAGTCAGGTCGTTGTTGCCCCCTAAAATCCCAGTGCGGGATCGCTCTCCTGAGAGGGTCACGTCTACCTTAGACAGAGGCAGGTCCCTCTCCTTTGATCGTTCTGGGACCAACCGATCCCGTTCATTCTCTCCAGCTCCCAAAAGAACCCGCTGGCTAAGATCTCGCTCACAGTCACCTAGACCCATCTGGAGACCAAATTCTGCTAAGGCAAATGCCTGTGCCCAGCCTCCACCAAACTTTGGCAGGTCCAGATACAGCAGAAAGAAAACGGCTTCAACCAGACAATCACGATCCAGAATATACAAACCAGGAGCCCTGGCTGCCAGGTCCTGTACTCCAGCCAGGATGAATACAAGGGGAACAGTGAACTATTCTTGGAGCCCTTATAGTCTGCCCTCCACTGCCGTATCCTCACCAACAGCTCAGGAGATTAACGAAAGGTAAGAACAGGCTTGCGGGGAGATTCAAGCTTTCCATGAGTTCTTCCTGTCAGCATTAGTCTAGCACATCTTACTAGATAACTGGTCAAATGTGACTTTGGTCCATATTCCACACTGGTTTGTCCAAATAGTGAACCAAACACAAGAAAATACGTCTTATTCCCAGGCTACATTTTAATTTGTTACCTTAGGGCTTCATCCAGAGTCTTTCCATTAGACTTTAAATGGATTTGGACTCAGTTCCAGGAGTGTTTACTTTAAAACAAATAACCTAAGTCAGGATTTTACTGTAGCTTTTAATGTAACATTGCCTCTGTAGCCTTTTTTAATGAAAGTGAATTTAGTCATGTTGTATTACACTATTGTGGGTTTGGCTCTGGTGACTACAGTTTAAAGCTCAAAAGAGCAGAAGTCACCTCTTCTACTTGCTTTGGATTTAGTCTCTAGCTACACATAAAGGCCAAGATTAGTGACCACACATATATTCACAGCTCTTTTATTCCCATTAGCATTGATGCACAAAGTGCAGCCTGTGGTTAGGGCCTGTCTTAGAACATTGTGACTACCAGAGATCTTGTAGTTAAAAATTACTTTTACGGTTAATTTTTAACAATACCACCCATTTGTACATTTTTTTCCATAATCTTGTGGCATGAGACACTTTTTGATCATATACATTAAGCATATTTTCAGCCTAGTGTGGACTAGTGGACTAGTGTGGCTAAGCTGACACTTTACAGGCATCAGCCTATGGATCTTGCATTTCAGATTTACTTACATACCTAACGCATACTTATCATTTCTAAATACTAGGGCTGTCAATCCTTGTTCACTTATGTGATTAACTCATAAAATTAATTATTAAAAATTAAGTGGTGATTAATCACAGTTTTAATCACTATGCATTCAGTGCTGTAATTAAAATTAATATTTGAAAAAGTAAAAAATACAAAAATAAATTTCAATTAGTATTCTATTTTAACAAAGTGTATTCTGCTCACTTTACATTATTTTAGTACAAATATTTGCACTGTAAAAATGATTAATAAATAGTATTTTTCAATTCATTTCATACAAGTGCTGTAGTGCAGACTTTTTATCGTGAAAGTGCAATTTACAACTGTAGATTTTTTTTTTGGTTACATAACTGCACTCAAAACTGAAACAATGTAAAACTTCAGCATCTACAAGTCCATTCTGTCCTACTTTTTGTTCAGCCAATTGCTAAGACAAACAAGTTTGTTTACATTTACAGGAGATAATGCTTCCTACTTCTTGTTTACAGTGTCACCTGAAAGTGAGAACCCCCAATCACATGGCACTTTTTAAGCTAGCATTCCAAGGTACAGGTTGGACCTCCAAAACATGTTTCTGGACCAGGGAGTCCTGACTGGGAGCCCCAGTGACAAAAGGGCTGGTGGCCCCGATAGCTCAGTCAGGGCCGTAGCAGCCCCAGTAGCAGCTATGGCAGCCCTAGTAGCGGAGGTGGGGCATGGACGCGGCAACTGCTTCAGTCCCAATAACGGGGCTGGAGCTGGGGATACACAGCTGTAGGAGCCCCGGTAGTGGCGGCAGGGTCGTGGATGCAGGAGCCGCTTCAGTCCAGGTAATGGGGCTAGGGCTGGGTATACACAACCATGGCAGCCCCGGTAAGATGGCAGTCCGGGCTGCCAGGGCCACAGCAGCATGGCTGCCCAGCAGGGGGACATGGCCAGGGCTGGCAGTGAGTAGGGAAGGCAGGCTGGGGGGCCAGTAGTAGAGGACCTCCCCATGTCCAGCAAATTCCCTCATTCAGGATCGGTCAGGTCCTGAGGGTGCCGGATCAGAGAGGTCTAACCTGTATTTATGTGATAGACATTCTAAATTTTCATATGTTCCTTCATGTTTTAACCATGATTCTAGAAGACATACTTCCATGCTGATGATGCATTCATTAAAATTGTGACTAAATTCCATGGGGAAGAATTGTATGTCTCATGCTCGGTTTTACCTGCATTTGGCCGTATATGCTATGTTATAGCAGTCTCGGAAGATGACCCGGCCCACGTTCGTTTTAAGAATACTTTTTCACTACAGATTTTACAAAACTCAAAGAATGTACCAATGTAAGATTTCTAAAAATACCTATGGCACTTGACCGAAGATTTAAGAATCTGATGTGCCTTCCAAAGTCTGGGAGGGACGAGATGTGGAGCATGCTTTCAGAAGTCTTAAAAAGAGCAACACGCTGATGTGGAAACTACAGAATCCAAACCACCAAAAAAGAAAATCAAACTTCTGCTGGTCACATGTGACTTTGATGATGAAAATGATCTGCTTTGGATCATTATCTAGCAGAACCCATCATCAGCATGGATGCATGGCCTCTGGAATAGTGGTGGAAGCATGAAGGGACATGAATCTTTATCTCATGTGGTACATAAATATATTGCGATGCTGGCTATAACAGTGCCATGCGAATTCCTGTTCTCACTTTCAGGTGACACTAAACAAGAAGCAGGCAGCATTATCTCCTGCAAATATTTGTCTGAGCAATTGGTTGAACAAGAAGTAGGACAGAGTGGAGTTGTAGGCTGTAACATTTTACTGTGTTTTATTTTTGAATGCAGTTATTTTTGTATAATTCTACAGTTAAGTTCAACTTTCATGTTAAAGAGATTGCACTGCATTACTTGTATTAGGTGAATTGTAAAGGACTTTCTTTTGTTTTTTACAGTCCAGATATTTGTAATAAAAAAAAAAATAGAGTGAGTGCTGTACACTTTGTATTCCATGTTGTGGCTGAAATCAATATATTTGAAAATGTAGAAAACATCCAAAAACATTTAAATAAATGGTATTCTATTCTTTAACACTGTGAGTAAATGTGTAATCAATCAAAATTAATTTTTTCATTACACAATCAATTTTTTATCATTTGACAGCTTTACTAAATACTGATCACTCTTATACATCTGTAATCCTACAATTTAAATCTGTTTAGCACAGAATGGTTTTATGTAACATGATCCTATCACCAATGTCATTGGAGGTGCTAACTATTGTGGCAGGGTAACCCCACTTCTGGGTCCCAGCACCCTACTCAGTGCTTAATCTGGCAGTCTCAGTACTACGCTATTAGCCCTTGGCAGGGTTTGAGCTCTTGTCCCTCAGCTAGAAAGGGCATTGCCCCAGGTCAGCACTGTAAAAACAGTGCTCTCCAGCTCTAAGCTGGATTCTCAGGCTGCCAGGAGAAGGGGGGCCTGAAACCAATGTTTGGAGCTCCCCCCTCTGCTGTCTCTGGCAATGTTGCGGTTACCTTTCTCAATTTGTCTGGTTCTCTCCCTGTATGCTTTGGTCTCCTCACTCTGCTTCCTCCCCCTCCTTGCGGGGCGGGTGGGGGGGGGGGTGTCCTTTTAAAAGGCTCTAAGACAGCATCAAGTGAGATCACCTGGCTGTAATTGATTTACAGCAGCCCTATCTCCTCTGCTCCTGATTAATCAGGGCTGTTGCTGCCTCTTAGAGCTGCTTTTCTCTCTATCTATTGTAGTCCTCCATCCTGACCCTGTCATGCTATTGTTTTAAGAAAAGTGGGTTAACAAATGATTACCTGTGTTATAGGGCAGTCATCCTCACGTTGTCTTGTGCTTTAGAGCTGTATTAGTATACAAAGTCCTATGGTGTGTGTGAGCCAAGATTGCTTTATATATAACAGACTTTACACAGAATCCTGGAAATGAAAAGTTAAAGCTAGTGATAACATTTTTTACTTCTTCTCTCAGACACAGCTCTCTGCTTGAACTAATAGCGCACAATACAACACACCTTTAACTCTGTCCAATAGGGATGTCAGTCTTGCAGCACTCCGTTCCGCATCACCATATACAGCCAGATGTCCCCTACCACTTTATCTGGAAAATCACGTGTGTTGTGGGTGAGGGGGCTAGAACTAGAGATGTGAATATTTACCCTGTTATCCAGTAAGCCTCACCCTTAATGGTAATTACGGTTAACCGATGGGGGCTGGAGCAGGCCCCCCACCCACTGTGGATGGGGGGCTGCTCCTGCCCTGCAGAGCCTACCCGGGTGGGGCCAGCTGGTGTCACCATAAGCCCTTCAAAAATCTATTTAGGTGCTCAAAAATTGTACAACTAAACTCACTATTCACTTTGGGCCACAGTTTATAAAATGCCGTGAATTCCCCAGCCAAGAGATGTTCTAGAAATGCAAGGGCTTGCTCTTGTTGGTCAATCAGGTTTTTGCAGACTCTTGCCGAAGGTGCTGTTGGGAGGTCCCTGATCGAAATGTCCCCGTATCAGAAGGAGCTGACTCGACTCAGGCTGGAGCGCCTGCGTGTGGAGGAGGAATGGTTATTAGAACTAAAGAGGCAGCAAGAACTGGAGCGAACTCGGGGTCCAAAGCCAAAATGGTAAGTGCAAATCCTGAACCTTGTGGGTAGTCCAGATGGGTAGGCTGCCCGCTGGGGTTCTCCAAGGGAAAAAGAACCCAGGTCAGATTAAAACTCCATGGCTGCTACTGCATATACAGTGTGGTGGGGAAATAACTTCCCAATTCCCTAGAGTGCTTCAGAAATATTATCATCCCTCTCTGAAATCAAGCCAGTTTTCTCAGGACATAGGTTTCTGACCTTTATCTCTGCAGGACCCCATATTATGAGCCAAAATGGATCTGTGCATGCACGCACATTTTGTGAGTGCAGATTGGCACTAGGTACTGAAAATGTAAGAGCTACTATTCAACCAGCAGAGGGAGCAAAAGCTAACTAACAAACTCAGAAACCTGAAAAAAATACCAAATAGTCCTGCAGCACCTTAGAGACAGCAAAAAAATGTAGATGGTGTCATGAGCTTTTGTGGGCACAGCCCACTTCTTCAGATGAAGTATTGATGATGCTAATGGAAGTAGCCGTCTCCTCTTGTGCTCCATGAGAGATGGGGCAGAGGAGAGGGGCTCATGGGAGGAGGAAATCAGCATTTGCTAAAGAGTAAAGCTGTAGTGTTAGTGTCTGTAAAGTGGGAGAGTGTTCTGTTAATGTAATGGGAAGTATAGAATCATAGAATACTAGAACTGAAAGGGACCTCGAGAGGTCATCAAGTCTAGTTCCCTGCTCTCATGGCAGAACCAAGCACTGTCTAAATCATCCCTGATAGTTGTCTATCCAACCTGCTCTTAAATATCTCCAATGATGGAGATTCCACAACTTCCGTAGGCAATTTATTCCAGTGCTTAACCACCCTGAGAGTTAGGAAGTTTCTCCTAATGTCTATCTTAAATCTCCCTTGCTGCAGTTTAGAGCCCATAAACCAGTCTGTACACGCACAATTACAATTACAGAAGTACTCCAGGACCTCAGCCTTGTTAGTACGTGGACAGATAGTGAGAAATATTTTATGACTGAGTCTCTTAAAGAGCATTTCCCAGACTGAGGGTCACTTGGTCCTGTATGTCCATTAGTGACCTGATGGCTCTGTACCATCCTTCTGAATTGGGCCCTACCCTGGGCAGGTAGTAGCACATTGAGGCTTCCTGTAGACTTAATGAACTTCCTTTCCTCCAGTGTCATGTACAGATCTGTCTCATCACAAGAGGATGATGGAACAGAGTACCATGTGCATCCCACCAGGAAGTCATAGGATATCCAAGAGAGAAAGGCAGGGCTCTGGAGAGGCAAGATTCTCTGCACACAGATATTTGGGGTTGAGGTTAGTTCTTTTTCAGGTCCAGGCATCCGATAGGTTTGTGTGTTGGGTGGAAATTCACAAATACAAAGGTAATGAATGCAGCTTTTTCATGGCTTTCACACTAGCCCAGCTCAGATGGGCGTTTGGAAGATTTAGAGCTCGAAGGAAGAGTCCAGAGGACAAGGGATGATTGGGGGAAAAAAACCACTGATGTGGTACCAAAGCCCTGTGCCTTTTATTGTTAGTCCCCTCTCAGGGACTGTCCAGTACTGTTGTTTCTCTTTTCCAGGTATGAGATGAAGAACTCCCAGTTTCATTATGAAGCCCACAAGAATAATGAGTTGCTGAGGAGCAGCCAGGACTTGCAGTCTGTGTATAACTATAGGCAGGAACTGGCATCAGTGTCCAAGGAATTCCAACAGCATCTGAAACCTGCTCACCTGCACTCTCTCTAATAACAAAAACACATGGGAAGAGCTCGAACTAACCTGTACTGGAAGCAGATGCAAGCAGAGACTCCAGCTTGTAAATTCTGGGATGTCCATGTGCTGCGGTTAATGAACAGGAAACAAGATGGTAGAAAGGAGAATTCTTTGGATCCAGTTGCCAAAGGGCCAGTCCCACCCCGATGCATCTTCATTGCCTTCTGCACTGAATTTGGTTCATTATTGTAAATAACAAATCACAAATTCTATTCATATCTGTGCTCCAGGCCAGCAGAAAATCGTGCTGGCTCTCTGCACAGCAGGGGGTAGGGGACTTTTACCTACGAGGAATGATCCCTAATCAACTTACTTGCAGCATAAAGAACCTTTTAATGAAGTGTTGGGAAAGGCAGAAAGGAAAAGTGAAGGGTCTCAAACCATAGAAAGGTTGGTCTATAATGAGGACATCAGACACAGACCTAAAGCCCTTGCTGTCAGATCCTGCAGCTTGGGAGGATGAAAAGCACAGAATATGGCATTGATTGGCTCGGACATGTTAATAAATAGCAGAATGGCATTTGTTCAGCGTTTCCACTGACTGTATCCTTTTTTTCAACACTTGCTTCCATCAAAGTGCAGTTTAAGAACGAGTCCCCGCTCTTCATTTTTTTCTTTAATCCCTTCTGTAATTAACTGCTGGCAAGTAAAGTATTCCAAAACCAGCCAGTTGCCCAGGGACAGCGGCAAACAAAAAGCGAACTGCTTCCTACAGCAACTTATAAATGTTAGCATTTTGGTGCTACTTGATCCCAAGATGCAATGGAAACAGTTCTGGAAACCAAATAAAAGGCAGGCTGGCGCGTTAGTTTGTTTTGAAGATTTTAGCCTGCAGCATCCATTAGTTACACAATTTACAAGCAACCAGTCCCGGGATGATCCGTCTCCATTCTCAAAACAGTATAATTAATTCTGCTTTAATAACTTTCTAATTAACATTTTAAATCCTCCATCAGGGGCATTAGAATATACTGATTGTTTTAATAACACTATCACCAGTTGTCATTGCAAGCACTGGGCTTGAGTATAGGCCTTGGTTTGGAGCACTTCAGCTATCCAGCATAGATAATCTATTTGCTACACTAAAGGCAAAATAGTCTGAGAGGGGAGCTGGGACTAGGGACTCATTTCACAAGTCCAGAAGGGCCCAAATAAAGAAGAAAATTAAAAATGTCTTTTCTCTCCCAGCTCATTTATGTCTGACAAACAGATTGGCATTATCCTCTACTGGAGAGATCAATAGTTGCTGTAGTTGTTTACCTCTCCTGGGGAAGCTACTGCACTAACCTGCCAGTCTCACACTGGGAGAAAGTAACAGAATTACTGAGAATATGGGTACTTCTTTAAAATCCATTCCAGTTCATTTACAGTTGTATTGATCTGCAGTGTATAGGACAGAAAGATACCATGTTAGGCAACAGATCACCCCCCCTTTTCCCATCAGTACCCTTAGATAAATTGAAATGTTTAAAATTACATTTCCTTCTCATTGTTTATACTGGCTTAGCTTTTGCATTTCGGTGCAAGCTTGAAGTGAACCCAGTCGGTTTCACTTGCTTCTCGTGTATTAGCAGGATGCTACTGTGCGTGGGTTGTAAATATCACTGGGAGGTTGGAGTTTAAATAAATAAAACTTTTAATTGAAATAAAACTCCTAACAGTTGTATTAGGTTTTATTAAATTTCCTCCTCCTCCTCCCCCCCTAAAACCACTCCAAAACCTAAACAGTGGGCTATGCTTCCTGGCCCCCCCCCCCCCCC